GATGTACAGGAGAATTATGATAAAATATTTAAATATCATTTACCCTATTTATCTTTATCAAGAAATTCGAATAAATAATAGAACTTATAAGCTATACATTTTGCAAGACAATACAAAAACAGTAGGAATACAATGAGCATAATTTTTTGTTTAATTAATAATAATTTTCTGTTTTATTAATTTTAGAAATGTTTATTATAAAAAAAAATATATTTTTGGTTTCTCGGAAACCTTTGTGTTAAAACCCTGTATAAATATCATAAAAATATTGTAACATATTCTTTAAGGATGACAAAAATATAAATTCCACTCAAGAAAAGCGAAACCTTATTTTCAAAACTAGAGAAAATCTTGGCCTAAGATACGTTTAGTACAGTGGTCGCCAACCTCTCAATATATTGAGCTACTTTGTTAAGTTTGGAATAAACAGCGAGCTACCCACACGAAAGCCACGTAACGCAACGTAAATGAAATAATCTACAGTTAATTTATCATTATATGTCTTTATTTTACTATTTAACTGGTAATACATAATACATAGGTACTAATAATAAACTAATAACAAAATAACTAATATTACTAGTACGTACTTGTTCATAGCTACATTCCTACCTACCAAACGAAGGTGTTTGAAAAATAAACACAAACTTTTATCCAGCCACAACGGCATGTCACGTAAAATTTAAAAATAGTTAATAATAATAACCAAAAAGTAACGCACTATCATGAACATAAACATTGAAAAATAAAAAAGCACGTTCAATGAGAAGGCTGACACTCAGACTCATCGATAATTTTTTTAATGTTTGCAGTATAATTTGATACAGCCATTCGAATACAATTATCCAAATGTTCATCTGTGAGTCGATTGCGATATTTGTTCTTAATAAACTTCATATTGGAAAAAGAAAATTCAAAGAAAAATAGGTTGAACTGAATAATGCTTTCACTTTCAAGGCAACACGACATAGAACTGAATATATGTCTTTACTTACAATAGGCCAGATACATTTGGTACTTGAGACTAACGATTTTAAGGCTAAATCATTTTGAAACTCAATTACTTCCATTTCTGTTGCAGCGATGTCTTCGCCAAAGTTCTGCATAACACAAGTTGCAAACTGTGGGATATTAATTTTCATAAAGGGTGAAACAAAAAACTGCGCTACTAAAGCCATTTCGTTGAAATCCTTAAAACGATTTTTGAAGTTATTCTTCAGGGTAGAAACTATTTCTACATGATATTTGCTGTCATAGGGTTCTAATGGATTTTGAGATATTTTTTCTGAAAGAATAGGAAAATGCTTGGCATTAATTAGGTTTTGTTCCCAAAACTCCAGCTTTTTGATAAATGCTTTTATATCAGAAATCATTTCCGCTAGTTCTTTGTCTCTTCCCTGAAGCTGCAAATTAAGTTCGTTTAATTTCTCTGTAATGTCTACGAGAAAACCAAAATCTCTAAGCCAGATTGAATTTTCTAGTTCCGGAGTCGGTTCATCGCGTTGTTTGAAAAATTGAACTATGCCAGATAAGACATCATTAAAACGTTTCAGCACCCGTCCTCTACTTAATTATCAGACTTTAGAGTGAAGGAGTAGGTCCCCGTATTGACAGTCAACTTCATCGACCAAGATTTTGAATAATCTTCTTTGTAACGCTTGAGCTCTAATCTTGTTCACAATCTGACTAATTCTAAATGTATAGCACGATAAACACTGCATGTAAATAAAACTATCCAAACCTTTTTATTTTCTTTAATATACAAAGGCCCTGCAAGATCCACTCCTGTTACGTTAAAAGCTTTCCCAGTTTAAAATCTTTTAATAGGGAGAAGTGCTGCTGAAACATGGATATATTTAGACTTTTGTCTTTTGCAAATGACACATTTGAACTTTAATATCCAGAACTTTTCTCTTAGAATTTGAAGTATAGTTTGAACTCCAATATGTTTTACAATTCTATGCTGTTATTTGATCATTTCTTCGACAATTTCGTGATCAGAAGGTAATAAAATTGGGTATCTAATATTATATGGATCATCCCCAAGAAATAATTTCGTTTTTACCCTTAGAATGTTATTCTCGTCTCTGCAAACTTCTAAATTTTAAAATTTTTTATTTGGAAAACTTTCTTTCTGAATAATTTGGATAATTTTTAATTCAGCGTCATCAATTTCGTATGTAGTTAATTCGCCTACTATTTTCTCTCTTGTAGAGAATCGTTCAAAAATGAATTGTTTAACTCCATCTGTTCAGCGTCTGGAGACTGACAAACAATATTAGTGTTCGACCAACTGTCTTTTGGTCTCTTCAACCAATCGGGTCCCTCCCACCACTTGCTCTCTACGAAAAATTTTGTATGACACCCTCTAGAAAGTAAGTCGGCAGGGTTTTGATCCCCTAATACATGAAACCATTGATCTGACTCAGTAGCTAACTGAATTTCGCTCATTTTATTATTTACAAATACTCTTCATTTTGATTTTATTTTAGCCAAGTTAAGACAACTTTTGAGTCGCACCAGTAAAACGTTTTAATAGTCGATATTACACTTAATAATTTTACTGATTGACATAATCTTACTCCTCTAAGAGCACCTATTATTTCTAATCCCAAGAGAGGAACAATATCACAAGAGGTGGTTTTGACTAAATTACTATCTAAATTAGAAACCCATCCCGTAAGATTAAATTTTTCTTTGGACATGGTATTAAAACTGTTCACGCATGAATTTTTTTAATATGAAAGTCACCTTATAGGCAGTAGTATCGCAAACTTTTGATTACTGAACTCTTAAATATATATTTTGCTTAAACATTTTAATAAAATTTTAATAATATAGATTTTTTTTTAAATTAATTTAATTTAATGTTTTCTGGAGTTCTGTTCGGTACTTACATTTTATTTAAAAATGGGCGTTCTCTTTTATTTATTTATATTTTTTACCTCCCTTGTATACGGTACAATATTTTTATAATTATGAACTTTTTACTATGTTTTTCGTCCTAAACTAACTTTATTCTAAAATAAAGATTACAGAGTTATCAAAAATAAAAAGTTTTAGGTTTGCCACAGTCTTTTTATATACAGTGTGAAAAAAAAATGGAATAAATTCTGTAATTAATAAATAAACACTTCGATTGGTATTTTAAGTTGCGCATTAAATAAAAACTTTTTATATAGGGTGTGTCATGTAATAGTTGCCAAAACCAACTTTTTTATTTTTTACACCCTGTATATTTTTCAATTTTTGGATTTTTTAGAAAATTCTAGACATATTTTAAGTACCAGGTCCTATACCTAACTGTTTCGGAAATATTAAAACCTAGCTGACAGAAGACGAATACCGCTTGCGATTAGATCGGTCACTCCTGAGATGTTGAATAACGAAAGAAGAACTTTTTATTTCAGATTAGGATGTTGCCAAGAGGTTCGTGTTCAGCATTATGAACATCTCCTACATTGAGACATGTTTTTTTTTGTTACATTATCAAGAAATAAACAGTATTACTTAGTATTTTTTGAGCGTGTTGTAACGAATTTCTGTAATTATATTATTTTGTTTTATTAATGTTAGTTTTTGCAATAAATCGGAAAACATTTAATATCGGCACAGCAAATACTAAGCTTTTCAGATACCGCCAGAAAAAGGTAACCATGATAACAAAAAAGTTCTGTATAGTTACAAGTCTATAATTAAATATATACATATGTATAAAAAATCCCAAACTTCATCCATGTTATTTAAAAAAAAAATAATCAGTGGCTGCTAGGGATCGAATTACAATGAATAAAACAATGTACATCTGTTGCTGCAGTTTAAGGATCAAATAAATAAAAAAATATTTAAAAACGAAAAACTTTAAAAACAAGATAAATAACACAATAACTTAAAATATATTACATTATTTTTATTACCCTTTTAATAAAGGTTCTAAAATTTTCTAATATAACAATTAATATATTTTATACTGTTTAATTTTAATACTTTAATTTTATAATAATATCTTACACCTTAAGTTTCGTTGATGCTATCTATGTTTTCCTCATGTTTATTTATTATTATTTTTAATATTTTATACCTAGATTGTGTCAGTTCAAAAAAAATGAAATGTGCCAACACTCAGGTGCTATCCTTTGTTGGCTTTCATTTATTTACCAAATTAAATGTATAATATAAAAAATCCAAACATAGAGTTGTCACGATATTGTACAATATTTTTTTTTTGTTTATTTATTCGCCCACACTTTATTTGTGTGTATAAAAACCAAATCTTTTAAATATTTATTATAAATGGTAGACTTTAATAAATTGTTAATGTAGTTTTAAATTTAATAAGTTCATTTGCGAAAATTGACGTTTTCAATAAATTTTAGTCCGATCATTTAGTTGTATATTGAAATTAGTTGAAAGTCCATATTTGCTACTAATTGGACATCCGCCCTAAGTGAACTCAACCGAAGATTTATCTTAACGTAGAAACCTGCTGCATCGATAAACGTGATTTTGTATCAAATCTTATACCATCTAGAGAATTTATCTTAAACAGCGATTACGTTTAAGTGAGAAACCTCTTTCGGCGATAAAATTTTTTATATTTGGAAAAGCTCTTACGGGAAATCAGGAAGTTCCAAAGTATCGGATACGACGAAAGACACAATAAAATACTTCTTAGTCCATTAGACGTCTGTAGCAATTCGAATAAATCAATATAAAAGAGATTTTTACAATGGAATCTTTGGTTGGTGGAACTTGTAAAAGTTGCCAGTTGCTTTTAATGTTGCCTCCGTTATCGAGTTTCAAATTTGCGCTTTCATGTTATTGATAAAAGTTTTTCTTTTTTTAAATTACTTTGATATTACTGTATAATTTTTGAGTACATTTTAACCATATTATATTGAATATAGTTTTTATTGGAAATTCTATAAAGTCGAATGTGTATCACTTGTTACACGGTTTCATGTCTAACCGACATTTCAGCTGTTGTATTTTATTAAGACATGGCGTGTGCATTTACCAGTGTTAAAAAGTTAATGAATCTATCGCCAGAGGGCCACAACACGCTTGAATATGCCATTATGGTTAGTTTAGATACTTAAAATTAACATTTATTTATTTAATTAATTTGGTATACAGTGTCGGACACTGAACTTTTTTCAATACACAATGAAACAAGAGAGTGAGAATTACAGAGAGTTGACATTGGATCGAGCGAGAAAGGAAAGATGTCAACGTTGCCATTGATATGAAAAGACCACATTGAAAAGTTGACCAGGTCGTGTAAGCTAGAATCGTTGGTACTGTTCCTTTCCTGCTTGACCTAGTGCTGGCTCTCTATAGTATTAACCAATTTTCGTGAGTCGTTTCTATGATCTTTGACCTCTGGGGAAGATAATCTTTATAATATCCCACATATGTTTAATGGAATAAAATTGGAGGCCATTGAAAGGCAGTAACATTAGTTTATTTGAGACACTCAACTAAAATACGGGAAATATGAAAACGAGCATTATTTTGCTGCCAGGAATGCTTTAATGGTATGACAAAAGCTTCTAAATCGATGTGTATTTATAGTGCCCTGAATAAACAACAGGAGTGATCTACTTCCATAGCAGATGATTCCCCAAATCATAATGCTGTAACAAGCAACTTGCCTAAAGACCAATTTGCTTCAGTTAATAGATCTTTAACTACTGTTGTCAATATACTTTTAAGAAATGAAGGCAGCACTATCAGCAGCCAAAGGGTCGTGTAGTCCAGAAGGTACATCCGTTCTCCAGTGGCAAATAAAAATAATAAAAAAATAAAATTAGAAAAACATAAAATTATCCCTTAACGGCATAAGTCGAGCGGCTTTGGCAACTAGTTATATACTCTTCTAGTCCATTTAGGGGTGAAATCTCCGAGGCTTCACAAATGCTTGGAATATTTAATAACTGCTTTTGGAAAGGACAGGAGAGAATAATGATGTTAAAACAGTAACAAATATTGAAGAGGTTGAGTGGTGTGTACACACTGGGTAATAAGAAATGAATCGAGAGAGTATTTAAAGTGTTTAAAATTAAGTTCTATTTAATAAAACTCTATAAAAAATTTGTCTGAGCGCTTTCGGCCTCTTAAGCCATCATCAGAGATTCTATAAAAGAGAAAAAACGGAGCTGTAACAATATAATCAACTCTAACATTACTAAAAATTAAATAAAAAAAAAAACGTGTACACTTACTCGTCAAAAACTTTAGAAGAAACATGAAAAGTGAACTAAATTAATAAAGGACAGCAACAGACCAGTCCCAAGTCTCCAAGTCTCCACCATAGCTTGCAGCTTAGGTTATTGAAAATAGAAAAACCACACCCAAATTCCGTAACAAACCCAGTGTAAAATTTGGTTAAATTTTAACAAATGAAGTGGAGGTTCATCTGACCATGTAGACCATGGAAACATTTTTCTTGGTCCATATATTGTTATATGATTGTAGAAGTTTGGTGAGTCCTGGAGATGGTAAATTCTTGAGAAAAATAAATGGAATATTGTTGGGTCCAGCAGCAGAATTTTTACATGTTGAGAGAGCATGAAGGACTTTGTGTAAATTAATAGAAAGATTTTAAGTATTAAAATCTGCATTAAATGTCGAGAGTGCAGATGTAACTGGGCTAACTGAGGTAGGAAGTGCATTTCTTTGTTTGTTTTTACATTTATTGTGGAAGTTTTTAGCAATAATCTTCACTATTTCTTGACTGTCAGTGACTATGTTCCCATTACATTGTAAACCTGGAATGTTCATTTCAGATCTATTTCTCTGCATGCGTCTGTTTTTATCCATACTTTGCTAGGAGGGGTATCGGATGTAATTGAGGATACATAGGTATTCCACAAATTTTCTTTGCACTGCTTTAAAATACTGCCTTTGGGTTTTTTTAAAGTTAGTGAGCTTTTTTTCTAGCTCTACGGTACCTGTTTAATGCTGTTTTACATTCTTGTTTAGCTGTGGCATATTTGTCATTCTACCAAGGAACTGATTGGCGATTAATAAAGATTACAGATTTTCCTATAAATATTTCAGTAACAGAAGGCAAGCAGTTATTAAAATCAGGAACGTCAACATTTTCGATAATTTGGTACTGAGATATGTGGTTTTCAATGTGCGATCTGAATCTTTTCCAGATGGCACCAGCAATTTTCCATTTAGTTATGTTAGTCGGCTCCAGGGGTTAAAATTCACTTATAATAGGGTGAATTAGAGACAATTATTATAATTGTTTCGTTGGTGGCACCATTTTGGTCTTTGGCCGTTGATATCCATACACAGGGATCTATGGAAGCATTAAATGCGAACGGTAACTGTGGCAATCAAAAAACCTAATATGGCGTTGTTTTAATTTCGTATCATATGTCGTTCAATTTAAACATGTCATTCCCAGGCCGGCTGTGTTTATAACACCTGCATCAACCGCAATATATTTTATGCAAATAATAACAGATCATTCACCAAGCGCTTAATAACAGTTGAACATTCCAGTATATATTTTTCCATTTCTTAAATGAATTAGTAGGAGTATAGCAACTAACGCCTAACGAAAATTTCAGTCAGTTGCTTTTCAATCCTCTTACCATCAACATGCAATAAACAGTGTGTTACTTTCATGCCGTACCTGACGGCACATGTCGAAGATTGGTAAATTAAAACAAATATTGTTCTATATGATGAAACTTCTTTAAGGGTTTTCCTAGTTTGGAAAAGAAAATTACTTTAGCCAGTAGCCACCACGTAGGGAAATACCTTAGTTTTAATGTGGCAATAAACAGGTGTACAAGTTTTATTGTCTTTCGTCGAAAGTTATTTAAATACCTGTTATTAACTGAAAGCCTGAATGCTCTTGTATTTAATGAATTTTTTTCTCAGTTTTACTTTTTTATATATTATTAACTCCAAAGGGGGATTACTAATGTGTATTAGTTCTGTGTACAAAATGTGACAGTTTCCGTATATTTATATGATATTTTTAGTATTCCTCGTATAATATACGCATTATTTAGAATTAATAAAAATCTCTAATGTGTATAAATACTACAAGAAAGACATACAGCTTCTTTATATCTTGCTGTAAGTTCATATTCTGGGTTTTCATGATCATTAGACATTTATAATACAACCAGGTGCGGTATAACGCAAACATAAACTTCAACAATACCAAATTTACTTTCTTATCCATTATAGGGGGTCCAGGTAAGCCTTAAATTCACATATTGAACTGATTCTAACGCTAATGCGGATTGACGCTGACGACCGCCAATGTTTGATTTTTTTGTACCTTCCTTTTGTTGAAATTCAATATTTGAAAATATGGATCGAGTGTAATGAGCGTGAATTATTAGAATATTGATAGGGCTAGGGTGGAAGTAACTAAGAAATGAAACCGTCTTTTGAGAAGGCGAAGTCTGTTCAGAAAATAATGTAGGTAGGTAAAGATGGGACTACAGATGCTGTTTCGTATTTATTTGAGTACCTAACTACATTTTTAATGTTTTTTTTTTGTTAATCACGCTTAAATTTTTTTATTATAAAAATAAGGAGCAACTAAGCATAAAGAATATTTTCTTAAAGTGTTAATATACAAATAAACAATTTCTAATATTATTCATGTCTCTAATGGCTCCAAAGTAGATTACAAAGAAAGAAGAAAAACAGTTGACAGACTTTGTGTCTGTAGTGGCGCTAAATAGGTGTAAAATAAGAGAAATTCACTATAAACTAGTTAAAAAAACAAGATAGACAAAAACTAATCTTAAAACTTTTCTAAAATCACTAAAATCAATATCAATTCACAGCTTATAACATTAGAATGTTTATATAAACAAAATAATGTATTTATTGTATAAAAAAAACCTATCTGTAATAAAATACAATGAAAATGTCTATTGAAAATATGTATTTTCTGTAACGTTTTGATACAAAAGGTGTTAAAACTGTTTGTGACTTTCGATTTCGAAGTAAGTGCAGCCAAAGTTGAGTTATTGTTGACTTTATAAAATCGTGTATCGGAGTTAGCAATATTGGCATTTATTCAGAACTTATTGGGGATTTGTAATAGCGAGGGGTCGCTCAGAAAGTTTTTCCTGCTGTGAGAGTATTTCACTCACATGGCTTTTTCTACAACAAAATTCTTTTAGTCGTTTGATATATGTTCGAAAGTAATAGAAGTTGTTTGTAGAAATATTGCGATGCAAAAGTTTGTATTGATAGGTTTTGTAAGAATTTGGGTATGTGTGACGAAAAACTATTATAAAGATTTATTATTTGTGTTTGTGTAAACACGAATTGGCGTACAGCATTCGAAATTATAATATAAAAATCATTTAAAAAAATATAAAGGGCTTATTTTAATAAATAAATAGTTGATTTAAGTAAAGTACAGCAATTTGCTAAACACCAGTTTTAAGGGTAAACAAAAAATAAGACAAATTGTTTAAAAATTTATTATTTTTACTTTAAACTTTTACTTTTACATGTTTTGCCCTGAATACATTTTTTTTCTAGTTTAAATTATTAAATGACAGAACAACAAATAAATCAAACATAATCCTTAAAGTTTTCTCATCTGATTTAACCTATATGATGGGTTTATTTAAGCGTTTAGAGGTTATACTAGATGAGAAAACTGTTATTAGGACTATAAGACGAAACTTGATACCATCATTTTCACAACTATTAGCGTTGATAGATATCGATACAGTAGATAGTTTATGCAAAAAGTGTAAGAGGATCGAATAATCCTTACATTGGAATAGTAGTACGAATAATGTTTTAAAACCACGAAAGTATCTTGAGCCAGATCTAAGTATTCCTCTACCTTCGAAACAAATAAATTTTAACAAATTTTTTAAAAACACTTCAGTTGTTTGCTGGATTTGCCATCAAACTGGGCATACATTTAATCAGTGTGAGTTAGCTAGGAATTTGTTTTGTTATGGTTGTGGTCAAGTATAAACAACTAATAATAAATGTAAACCTTGTTCAAAAAATGGTCATGCGAATGGAGTTACAAATCTTTTCCCTCCTCCACCTACCGCTCGAAATCAAA